CTATGAATGCCAAAAACGTCGAAATAGAGGAACAGGCAACCAAAACCAGCAAAGACGAAATAAAGATCATAGATATAAATTCAACAGAGCCTTTACAAAGTTAAAAAAAAAGTTGGGTCTCAAAATAAACAAAATTGACACGCTTTGGCTTATGAACAAAAAGGGGAAAAGGATTCGTAATAAGCTCATAGGAACAACAATGGGCATATTATAAAGTGCCACAAAGATCTAGTATAATACGAAGCATTCCCACGTAGATAACCAGCAAGGCTGACATATTTCATTCTATTCAACTAGTGCTGGACAGTCCTGCTTTAGATTCAGACTGAAGTAGAAATTAAATGGTCAAATTAGGGCCGAGGGATCAACTCTACCTTTGCTGATGTTGTAGATTTTAGAAAGTCCAAGGATTCAACAAGCACTCCTGGAATTGATAATGATTCTATCAATCTCAGAATACAATCAATACACAAAATCAGCAGCATCTCCTAATACACAATTAAAGAAAATTGAGATGAAATAAAAACTTTACCCTCACAGTAGCGGAATAAGAAAATTAACAGTCTATAATAATATACTAAACTAGAGTAAATACCCTCTGATAGGAAGGCTATGAACATGAGAAGGAAACAGCACGAGAGGAGATTAACAGATGGAACTTCATTAGATGCTCATGGATCGTCAACTCAACATTGTTAAAATGCCTATAACCAACGTGATCTACAGATTCAATGAATCCCTATTAAAATGCCACAACATCATTTTCAACATTCTAGAAAAATAATTCTAGGCTTCATATAGAATCATAGAAAAAACATATAGCAAGCAGTCTTAACGCAACAGAATTGGAAATGCATCAATCCTAACCAGACATTTTAAACTCCGGCTATACTGCAATGTATACTAACCAAATAGGCATGGTATTGGCAACACAGAACATGGATAGGAGAACTTTGTAGGCGGAAGAGCCAGATATAAAACGGGAACACTTTCTCAAAATTGATTCTGAATCCATTGATCTTATTTATGGTTTTCTTCTTGTTGAGTGTCCTCTGCTTATGTTCTACTTATGTTTAAAGTTCTCCATTAGAGGGTCTTTTACCTCATTAGTTCATTACCTAGGTTTTTTATTTTTCTTTCTCGCTATTGTGAGGGGTATTGAGGGATCTTGATTTGGTCCAGTTGACTGTTGTTGTGTATAGTGACGGCTCTGTTTCTGTACATTGATTTTTTATTGGCCTTTATGGGGGTACAGATTTTAAGGTTTCAATAGAATGCCCATTTTCCCCCCTCCCCCAAAGTCTGGAGTTCTCATCATGGACCATCCCCTAGATTGTATTGATTTTATTAAATGGTCCTTGCAGAATTTGTTTATCATTTCCAATCCTTCACATGGCATTATTTTTTGGTTTTTCTATATAAGATCATATGGCTGCAAAGAGTGATAGTTATGAAACTCTTGAGCTGTCATTCAGGTGTACATGATCTTACTTATCTTGTCCTGATTGTTCTGGCTAGGATCTTCCAGACTAGTAATGGCTAGTGATAGAAGGGCAACCTTGTCTGGTCCAGTTCTAAGGCAGAAAAAAAAAAAAATTGGCCCCCCTTTTTTTTTTGGAATTTTCCCTTAAAAAAAAATTTTTTTTCCCCCCAAAAAAAAGATGATGTTGGCTGTGGGTTTTCCAATCATGGCTTGTATATCCATGAGAAGCAGCACCACTTTCTTAAGTTGAAAAAAAACAAAGGTTTTCTTTATAGGAAGATAATGAACTATATATTATGAATTTTACTAATAAATGTACATTTAATGATGCGCAGGAAACATGGCTTCGGCCCCCCAAATTTTTTTAAAAAAAAAAAACCCCCCCCCCAAAAACCCCCCCCCCCCCCCCCTATATAGAACGTATTAGAAAAAAAAATTGTCATGTCTTGGCAGGCCAAAGAGCTTAATATTGTAAGCAAAATATTAATTTCATTTGGTTAATATTCCTAGCCTCAAGAGCTTTTTATTTTAATTCTATATAATCAATTTGGAGATAAAAAGTTATGCTTCTAAAAAGTTATGCTTATAAAATGCTTATTATTAGATTTTAGCTATATGCACTCTTCAAGTTCTTGTTATCTACAGCTAGACTGTACTAGATCCTAAATTCCCCTTATTTTCTTCAATATCTTGCTAAAACTCTCCAACTGAAAAACAAAACCGGCTCTCTTCCTAAAGTTCCTTATACCCTGAAACTAGACAAATTTTAAGGAGCAAGCCTCATGCTTCATGTACGGGCCATGCAAAAACTTCACCAAACTGCCAAATATCATAATTAGAGAGATTAAAGGTACAAATCCAGAGGAGGAGATGTTTTTATTCTGCAGACAGCTTTTCCCAAGAGATCAGAACAAGACTCCACATCATAAGAATCTTGCCCCTCTAAATTCTGCCTTTTTCACCTGAAAACATAAAGCTGAAATTAAATTTTCACAATAGGTAGCTTCTTCTGATAACAGAAACTAATCTACTAAATTCTTTAATATACATTGATAGAAAAAAGAAAATGTCTGTGTTTTGCTGATAATACATGCTATACCTGGCTGATTCCCTCTGAGAAATATTGAAAACCACGTGCACAAAATAAGAAAGCAGGCCACATAATTACAACAGGCCTCATCTATTGGCCATTTGATTTATTCAAGTGGTTTTCTTTAAGTCTAGGTCTTTGGCTCAAAACCCTCACACATACCGGACTTCTCATATTATTATTAAATTTACTTTGTATCTTCTCTTTTTAAACTTTGTATCTGTATCTGTTATATCTTATTTTGATTTGGTTTGTTTGGTATTTTTTTTATATATATAGAAGAACAACTCCTAACTACGTAAGGCTAGTGCTGCAATTTGACATGATAACAAATGACTTTGGAACAGACAAGATTGAATTTGATAATGGACTCTAGGCAGACTAAGCCTGAGAGCTACTCTCTTCAAACCTCCCTGGTTTCTCAAAAAGTAGTTAAAAATTTTTTACATCAAATCCTTGTAGCCAATCCCATCCCCGACCACACATGTAAGACAAGACATGCAACAAGGACAGGTCCATCCTGGCATTTAGGGAAAACAAAACCTAACTACTGGGTGATTAATCAGTGTTGCTTTTGGAGAAAGATCTTGATCAAAAGAGGGACAGGTGAAAGCGATAAGAGTTAAAACAGAGTCACTACTATTAAGAAGTAAAACCCCAGGAATTAGAGGTGGGGAAGGCCAAGAAAAAAGGGTTCTCATGCTTGCATGCCTCAATAAGAAAAACTATGACAAAAGACTGCAAATACCACTACTTTGAGCAAAGGCCATCACAAGTTTACAGCAAAAGAAATCTCTGCAAGGACATTTGCCTAGTAACTGGCTGTCAAACCTCAAATTGGTGTCACATTTGTTATTTGTCCTTGTATCCAAGGATATACTTTTTTAAATTATAACTTACCTATATCACATTATTATCATTATTATTTCAGCATATTATGGGGGTACAAATTTTAAGGTTTCGAATAATGCCCTTGTCCCCCTCCCCACACAAGTCTGAGCTTCAAGTTTGACCATCCCTTTTAAAACTATTGTGTAATCCTCCTCATTTTTTCTGTAACAATGTTTGTCATTTTTTACCTCTCTGAATCTGCACATAGTTTTCCAAGGCACACAGATTCCCATTGCAATGCTTTATTTTCAAATAAGTGTCTTTTCTTTTAAACAGCCTGTCTCTGTCATTTAGGTTGACACTCCCACACATGCTCCCCTATTAGCGACATTTCCTGTGAGAGTGGTGCATTTGTTACAACCGATGATTCTACATTGACACATGATTACCACCCAAATTCAGTAGTAGGCATTAGCATAGTACATATTTTGCAGTTATACATTCTATGTGTTTGGACAAATGTGTGATGCCATGTGTCTACCATTTTACAGTCATAGAGAGTAGTTTTAGTGCCCTACAAGGATTCTGTGGCTGTTTATCTCACTCCCCACAGAACACTGGCCACTGAGTATTTCACTGTCTTCATAATTTTCTCTTGTACAGAATGTCAAATAGCTGAAATCATACAGAATATAGCCTTTTCAGATGGGTGTATTTCACTTAGTACTAGGCACTTCAGTTTCATCCATGTCTTTTCATGGCTTAGTAAGCTCATATCTTTTGAATGCTGAATGATATTTCATACCTGGAAGTGCCACAGTTTATCCATGTGTCTACTGAGGGTCATGCTTGCTGCTTCCAAGTTTTGGAATTGTGAACAAAACTACCACAAACATCTTTGTGCATATTTGTGTGGGCATAAAGTCTCCAAACCTACATTGACATTTCCCATATGTCTGTAATATTCTGTATGGGTCAATTCAGGAAAGTTCCCAAATTATACTTATGCACCCATCCTAAAAACTATGGGGAAGATTTGACAACTTTAAATTTCTTGAATAGTTAGGCAGCATCATTTTATCAATTAAAATGATTAAATCAATTATCATAATCATAATCAATTAAATGATATTATTATTTCATTAATAGAATTTCTCCATGGATTACATAAATTTGTGGGGTTAAACACATGAGGGACTCTTTGATCACAGTGTCTCTTTTTCTATAGCATTAAACTATTTAGAAACCTTATCCAAATGGGAGAAAATGCTGAAAAAGAATATATGACAAGAATTATCATTTACCTGTTCATCTTAATTTGCATTCATTTGCACAACTTTTTACCAATTTATTTTTCACATAAATATTTGGCTTCAAGTTCTTACAGTGCAAAGAAACTGCTACAGTGCAACAAGTTATTTGCACTATAACCTATTGACAAATCCTTCTCAAATTCTTTGTATGATTCCATTTCTTTAGCCATAATTAAATAATAACATCTAGCTTAGAATTTTAAAGATTAACAGATTAGATTTTCTCCATGGGAACACCTCAGGGAAGCACAGAATCCAGGAAGACACATGTGCTTTGCTGTCAGCCCCTCATGTCTCAGACCTCATCATTTTGTCATTTCTCCAGGGAAGCCCCTGTCTGCCTCCAGGGATCATGGAAATGGAAATGAAGGGCCTCTCCCAAACACACTCATCTCCCCAGAGATGCTCACCAGAAAGGCATCATTATTTTCAGTAACTGGCAACTGGGGCAAAGTTTCTCAAACTATGATTAGCTCCCCAGTGTGCAGTGTCACTGTTACTACAGGTGACATGATAACTGCAGCCCTGTGGGGAGGTGAGGTCACAGGATCACAAAGCATATCTCTCAGACCTGGCTGCCCCCTCCCACACACTCACTGGCTGTGCTGACCTGATTGTGATCCCTGAGCCCATCAGCACTGGAAGGAACTCAGGTGAGTATTTTATATTTTGGTCTGTGAGGCATAGTCTGCAAGGGAAGTGAGTGTATTAGGAGCTGGGGTAAGTGTTCTTTTCCAAAAAAGGGATTCTTTTAGGCTGTAAACTGAGTCACTACAACATTCATGCAAGAAGGAGGAAAGAATGACTCAGTTATGCGTTGTACTGTGGAAGAGGACGGAGGTCAAGGTCATAAACCAGTCGGTAACTGTTTCTAATTTTAATTTAATGTAATACTCACTTTTCCTCATTGTAGAATTTGATAGAGTCATAGATGCCTGGATGTTTTTAGGTTCTCCAGTATTACTTTGGAATTAATTTCGCAGATGCTCTACCTTCCCTACAGGAGGAAGTGACACCACTTCTGGGATGGGTAGAGGTGTTTCCACGATACCTTCATGGCTGTGATAATGTATAAAGTATGGCTGATTGAATTACTTTATTCTGTTTAGAAATAGTAAATATAGGGTTTTTGCCAATTCTAGGCATATTAATACACCTAATGGTGACCATAACTTTCTGGTGGCATAGAACACCTGCTATCCCTCATTGTGGTATATGACAGTTTTCCTTCATGAAGTCAACAGGAAATGTAACTTAACCTTAGCTTTTTGTATTTTTAAAAATCATGATATCAGTGTTTTAAAGAACTGAATTGTTTATGATATTTTCTGTTGTACAATAAATTTCCAAAGCCATTACCAAGTTAGTGCTCAGGCTGCTACTATTTAAATTCATTAAGAGAGTAATTTTTCCTGCCTCCAATATCCTTTTACATAATGCACTTAGGTTTTAACATATTTAACCATTCTGAAACTGAAGTGATTTTATTTCATAACTTGGCATTCGCAAATTCTAATTTTCTGTACAAATTATGGGTAATTTGTTAATAGCTTGCCCTCTGCAGTATTTTATCTCCTACATGTGTCTTTTGTTCCCTTGTTCAGCACACAGCCATTCCCATCTCTGCTCCTTCTTGAATAAGATGAAGAAGACTCTCCTCTTTTAAAGCCAACATGTAAACACTTAGGCATTCAATAAATTACATTGGATTTTATATGATCATCATTGTAAGATTATTTAGCAAAACCAGCACCCTTATATTCTCCTTGGATCACTGATATAACATAGATGATATATGCCTATGAAATAAATAAATGTATTTCAATAACGAGTTACCACAATCAAAATTGGGGGGAAAAGGCACATGATCACTCTTCTTAAAACTAACAGGATAAGCAAAGATATGAAGAAAATATTTGGGTGATTAAAAATATATACATATGTCTGATATGAGATAGCACAGTGATAAAGTAAATTATCAACTTCTGACACCCTCTCAACAAGGAATTTACTAGAGAAATGCCATTTAGTCTTCCCATGCCTAAGATCCTCACACCTGTAAAATGGGAATAATAAAGCACTGCAAGAGTTGAAAAAGACATATGCAACACTTTAATATAATCCTCTTGTAGTGGGAAGATTTTCTATATAGATAGATAGAAAATATATATGTATTATATATAGTAATTATAAATGTATTTTAAAACAATAGCAAACTCTTACTGAAATAAAAACAGAATTGATTAAGAAAGTATTAGTTGAAAATAATGGTATGAGTACAACAGTGACTTTTAGTTGTCATCAAATAAAACTGTCTTCATGTTTCCACACAGGATTCTCACACTGAATGAGATTGTCAGTTATTGGAAGATAACAAATGGCCTCCAGGGATGTGGCAATAGGAATGATCTTTTTATCTCAGACTACGGTTGGATTGCTGGGGAATTTCCTTCTTCTTTTCCATTACAGTTTCCTTTATTACACCAGAGGCACTTTAAGATTCACAGATTTGGTTCTTGAGCACCTCAGTGTAGCCAACTTCTTGGTCATATTCTCCAAAGGAGTCCCACACACAGTGACAGCTTTGGGGTTGGAACATATATGGAATGACTTTGTGTGCAAACTTGTTTTCTATGTTCACAGAGTGGGCAGGGGTGTGTGCATGGGCACCACCTGTCTCTTGAGTGTCTTCCAGGCCATCACCATCAGCCCCACAGGCTCCAGGTGGGCACAGCTGAAACAACAAGCTCCTCAATGCATTGGGCCCATCAGTATCCTGTGCTGGATACAGAACATGCTGGTAAATACCATTATTCTTCAGGCTGTGACTGGCCAGGAGAACAGGAGAAACAACACAAGGGACAAGGTTTTGGGATACTGTACTCTATTAGATTTTGACAACACTATTTTGGGATTTATACATATTATGTTGTTTTCATCCTATGATGTTTTGTGTTTGGGACTCATGACCTGGGCCAGCGGCTCCATGGTTTGCATCCTGCGCAGGCACAAGCAGCAGGTGCAACACATTCATAGCACCAACCTCTCCCCCAGATCCTCCCCTGAGTCCAGAGTCACCCAAAGCATCCTTGTCCTGGTGAGCACCTTTGTGTCATTTTACACCCTCTCCTCTATCTTTACATTATTGCTGACCTTTTTTCCTAATCCAGGTTTGTGGCTGGTGGACACCTCTGCACTCATGGCTGCTTGTTTTCCTGCAGTCAGCCCCTTTCTTCTCATGGGCCGTGACCCCAGGATACCCAAAATCTGCTCTGCCTGCTGCGGAAGAAATACAATATTCTCTAAGCTAATACAATGACTGTAAATTTTAGGTAGTTTTTCATGATTCACTATGCACTGTGCAGTCATTTATTCTTTTCTTGCAGAGGTTCAACCACCACAGTGGTTATGTGATCAGTCACATAAGAGACAGTGTGTGAACCCAGATCTAGACCCTGCCCTCCTAGGATTTATCACATGGTATCGATAGTAGATACAGAATAAATATATTGAAACTGCTTTCATAATTCCTATTTTATCAATTACTTCAATGGAAAAGCTTAAAGGTAAGAATTATTTTAAAACTGGACCTCTACCAATTTGGGGGATGAGGGAGCTTATAAGAGTGTGAGACTTTAAAACAACGAATTTAAAATGCCCTGAAATTATCTGGGCACAGAAGCATAAAGGCGGTTTAATGAAACAGAGAATAGTGGGTATTACTCTGTCATGAAAGTGGGAAGAAAAAGCAGTAACTGCATGGCTAGTGGCCAGGGTTAGGGTTAGAGGGAAATAATGTACCAGACACTGCAGGATATCAAGGTTTTGTCATTTTACCTTAAATCCCCAAAAGAAAGTCACTTCCAATACGTAATTGTTTTGTGGGAGGAGAGTAGCATATTTTTTCAAATATTTTCAGATAAAAATGTACAGAAAAACCTGGGTGGGTCAAAGTGAGCACAAGAACCTTGTTAAGAGGTCTTAGTGAGAATTTAATTGACAGCCAATAAACAGGAGACTCATAAAAGAAAGAAACTGCCCTTTGGAACACTTCAAGGTGAACTATTTTGTGTCAAGCAATGATCTAACTTAGCCTGTTCTGAAGAGACAGGCTGGATGGATCCCACACCCTGAACTTTGGAAAGTGAATCTGTGGTGAAATCTGACCATAGAGGAGCTGAGGACAACGCCTCATGGCACAGAAGTCACAGTCACATTTTTATGGAGTGACAACTTCTGGTTTGAAATATTCAAGGTGACACCCTGCTGGCTGCACAGGCGACCCTCACCAGAAAATAAAAGAAAATAATGGACTTAGAAGAAACTCTAAACATTGGCGTCTGACTGATGGTTTACAGGGACATTCTACCACAAGGTCACTTGCATATACATGTGTTTCTCATCAGCTCATGGGACATCTTAGGGTTGAGCCATATCCAGGACACAGAGCAAGCTCAAGCAAAATTAAAAAAAAACAAACAAACAGTCCAATTCTGATCCAGTATTTCTAAATCACGAGAGTGAGGAATAAGAAAGTAGAAATTAGGGCCAGAGCAGCTGGTTGTCATGCCTATAATCCGTGATGCACTCGCGGAGGCCGGGCAGGGGATTGCTCGAGGTCAGAGTTTAGAAACACCTCTGAGCAAAGAGCAAGACCCCATCTCTATATTAAATAGAAGAAATTTAATTGGCAACTAGTATTAATAGTAGAGAGAAAAATTAAGCGGACATGGTTGGTGCAGTGTCTGTGGTCCCAGATACTTGGGAGGCTGGGAGTCAGGAGGGATTGCGTGAGCCCAGGAGTTGGAGTATTGTTGGTGAGCTAGGCTGATGCCACAGCACTCACTCTAGCCTGGGCAACACAGTGAGACTCTGTCTCAAAAATAAATAAAAATAAAAGTAGTAACTAACATTTTAACAGAAACTCACATTTCTACACAAAAAATGTGGAAATCAAACAACCTTCTGCTGAATGATTACTCCATAAATGAGGAATCAAGATAGAAATAAAAAATTCTTGGACTTAAGGGACAATGGAGGCACAAATTATCAAAATCTGTGGGCCACAGCTAAAGCAGTGCTGAGAGGAAAGGTTATTTCCATAAAAACCTATATCCAAAGTCAGAAAGACCACAATACACAACCTAAGTGAATGAACTCAAAGAGCTCGAAATAGAGGGAACAGACCAACCCAAACCAGCAGAAGAAGTGAAATTAACAAGATCAAATCAGAACTAAATAAATTTACAACACGGAAGCTATACAGAGGATTAATAACACGGCAAAAGTTGGG